ATCCCTTTACTGAAGTATGGTGGTTCTAGTTCCCCCCAACTCTGTAGCATTTGTGCCAAACGGCGTTTTCCTAACTCTTTTATTTAGCGAGATATTCGCATTGAAAGTTTTCAAATTCAGACCCTCGAATTAATGTTTTTCGTTCACCCTGTAGTGGGTGGAAAAAAAGTCTTGTACAGGTGAATACTACTGACTGAGACCGTTCATTTGAGGTATCACAAAAGAGGTAGGTAGTGCCATTTGACATTTCAAAGTTGGGGTGTGTTGCGCTGACAGGGTGACTCATCCCTTCACTGAAATATGGTGGTTCTAGTTCCCCTCAACTCTTTATCGTTTTTGTCAAGCGGCGTTTTTCTAACTTTTTTATTTCGCGAGATATTCGCATTGAAAGTTTTCAAATTTACACCCTGTATACACCTCAGAACAGAATGCTATTTTTCCCTCGGTGCTTTGTATCTCTCGGGCTTCGCCCTCGAGCTACAAATCGCACCTTGGCAAAAATCTCGCATTTTTGTCCCTTGATGTATAATGTACTAATCTCTCTCTGGATATTCGTATTCTACATTGAACTCCTCATCTATCCGAGGTAATTTTGTGTTATACCCATAGAAAAAAATAATACCATGGAGACAATATAAATATGAAACTCCAAAGTAGTGTCAGTGTCAAAATATGGCATTCAATGGATTGAGATGAATGAAAATAAAAAATATTTGAATCGGATCGTGGATATTCCTTGAGAATAATTGCTGTATCATTATTGACTTGTGGTATATTCTTCTCCACTTTTCACTACTACAATGACATTGCACAACCACATTCACTGGAAATATACGCCATATTTCACAATAGGCTTCCATCAGAAAAATTCAATATTGGAAGTACAATTCAATGAACCACAAAAACAATAAAATTCTGAATTTGTTTATACATTGATTCAGAATTATCTTACACGGATAGATAGAAAATTTGATGTAGAATTTGAATATCCAAAAACATATACGAGGTGTCATTTTAAATTCAAATTTGAATCACTTCCAGTTAGACCTAAAATATAATTCATCGTACTTATTTGTATGAAAGTATCATTCCTCGCGTGAATTTGATTATTTTATTCCATGAACTTGTATGGCGTTACAGGTTGTTACCTCTAGATCCTGGTTCTCGCGGTTCCTATTTTAACCACCTGAAAAGCAACATAATATTCAATTTAAGCGGCATTATATTCATCAGACGATTGTTTAACAAATAAAAACCATTTGCGAATAGAATCAGAATATTTTTTAATTCCCTCATGCACTCATTTACGTACAGGAGAAACCAGTTATGAACTGCTGAAGAATATGTTTAAATTCTCCATTCATGAAAATGCCTTTAATAGTGGTCAACCACGAATTCACAAAAATTCACCTAGAAGATTTGTATCCATGATTCTGAATTTCTATTAGGATAATCTCGAATTTTACACATTTAAATGTTTTTCACTAAAATCTTCATTAAAAAAATATCATTCCAAACTTACCTCAGCAGAATTGATCAGTATTTTCAGAAATCGATTCAGTCAACCTAGTAAGAAATATAAATAAACACTACCTTGATTCATCTTCCGTAAGTTCAGTTAAGTACATAATGCAATGATCTAAAACACCTACAAAGAACCATGTCCCTCTCATACCTCATATACGTCTATTCCATTTATCCAAGTACCCACTGAGAAATGATTATATAATTGATTCAGTTTGAATAATGTGTCTACGATAAGCATTCACAACTTGAGGATCTCTGACCTTGAAATTAATAAATTATGACGCATGAAAAAAGCAATAAAATATATCTATAGTGTATATTATTGGCATTCTGATATTTTTTGTGATCATCAACGTGAAAGCCTTCATCGTAGTCAATGGAAAACCTGAAGAAAGTTAGAAGTAGAAATCACGTTTTTCAAAATATCTCAGTGTTATATTCTCTCAGAGATCTTTTCTCCTCTATCATTTCCGAGATCCCAATGCTCTAAATACTTATTGTAGATATACAATGAAATCATAATATGAGTTCAAAGTCAAACAATTTCCATTTCATTGAGTTTATATCCTGCTAGCAACGATATGGAAATTATTTCACTTTCAGAAACCAAATCCCAACGTTGAAATGAAAACCACTCGCCAACACCATTCCGACTCCGAGTTTAAGTGAATGTGAAAAGCAAAAAACACCAAATCATATTCAGAGATCTAGCGAAAGCTATGCAGATGCTTAAACTGAACCTACTACTCAATACAGCAAACTCTCTTCAAATTCTCCAAAGCTGACACCACTCAGCTTTCGATAAACTTTGAGGAAAGCTGTGCTTGCGATAATGTATATCTATTACTAAGTAAACTAAACACCCAATATAAATAAGTATATAAGTAAATGAATTTTACACCATGAATTTGTACAATGTTTCTTAGTCTACTTTCAAAATAGTCTATGCTGTGACACCTTCATTCAATCGAGAGGATTTAATCAATCATATACAATGAAAAAGAAATTGCCATAGATATCAATCATTTAAATGAAATGAAAGAATCACATCATAGTAACCCATCGCCACCTATTGACAACATTGACAAACAGTGGTGAACCAAAGACAACATGAGTACGATGGATATGCTAAACAAATCAACTAGAAAAAAAACATTCATAGAAAATAGTTGCCTTCAGTTGCAATATAACAGTCCTATTACCATAGTAAAAACAAACAAACCCAATCCAAGTCTATAATTAGTCGCAGACATTTTTTGTTATAACAAAAGCCTTCAACATTAAATAGAGGACCAATTAATATATGTATTAGGAAAATATATCATTTCAACTTGTAACATGTAAAAATATTGATATAACAAAGTAACAACTTCGGAATGTTTTTGAATCACATTTGAGTTGCAGTCTTTCAGTCAATTTTGAAGTAAAGACGTAAAAGTGTAAAATATCGCAGGAGGTGCTATCTTTGACCTAAGGAATATATATCCCAGAGTTTGGTGAGACATTTTTCAGGGAGCAAGTCAGTTTACGTATTGTCATTTTCAGGAAATATCATATAATATTCATATATGTTCTCAACGATTCTTTGATCGTTCAAAGTGAAGCTACCTATATATCAAGGTAATACGATTATTTTGAAAATAATCATAATTGGTTTTGATCATCCAAATGTTGTATTTGTCGATGTGGATTGTACATAACAATTTATCAAAAATATAGACGTTTCTTCGAAATCATCTTCATAATGTATTTGATATTAAGTACCCAATGCTGAAATCTGAGTAGTCTAATCAATGCGGGTAAATATCTACAAATTGAATCGATACTTCGAACTACCGAATGAACAAAATAACGGCACTGTATAGTGAATACCATACTATTTACACTAAACTATGTACAATTTCAGTATAACCTCTATATTTCGAGTTATTCAAGACTATAAATCGAATTATAAATAAATGATTAACTTCAATATTACCAGAGATTATGTATTACTAATTAAGATTCAAATGAACGAAAATAGAATTGTCACATAATCAGCATTAAATCTATAGATTCAAACTTAATAAATGATTTTGTAATAAAAATATGAATAATGAAAAAAAAAATTCTTGGTGAAGTCAACATAAAAAATATATGAGACGTTGTTCCTTGATTACCAATAAGTACTTACCTACTTAACTATTGAACATGAATGATTGTGAATTCATCATAATATTGTGAGCTATCCTAAGAGTTCCAGATGTTTGAATATGTAGCTCGAGTAATTGATTGTTTCTTCGCAATTAGGGAAAAACAACAGGGCCAATGAAAATGAACAGAAAGTGGAAGGTATCCAGAATTTTTGCAGTTCAAAGCTCCTGAGATTGATGAAAATATCCACAATAGTTTTGTTCACAAGAACGTGGTAGTGAAAAATGAATTTGACGGGACTGGTTATGAAAAACAGGCATCGTTATCCACGCCAAATCATCGAAGAATTCAAACCTACTGCTTCAACTTCTACTATTAGTGCTGTAGTGGTTTTGCTTATTGCAATTATCAGACCAAATTGAAGTTATTGGTATAAGCTGGAAAATAAGGGCATGCAGACGATTGTACCTATAAAAATACACATTTTGACGCATATTTGGTGGCGATGATTGCCCTGATGAGGTTCATTTTGAGTATATCAGATACCATGAACACACATCTCATGACATAGTATGAGCATATTTCAAAGTAGCCAGTAGCTGGGAAAATGAAGGAGTAAACAAGCTGACGAATGGAGGGAGTATTGAGCTGTGCTAACAAATCGGAGGCTCCCAAGGTTGACATAACCTTAAACCTCAGCTAACAGGCAAATCAAAGCTGCCATCAAATATTGGGATAGAAATGTGGATACACAGACAGAGAAGATGGAGCAAAGGGTCTCTTAGCAGGCGAAGCCTGATCGCTAAAAGCATCCCCGTAGCTCCTCTTGACGGCCATCTGCGGCACATAATGCGTCATCCCAGGAGCTTGACCTGGCACCAGATGCTGGTACATCATGGGCGGCGGCCTCTGCAACCCGATGGGCATACGGGGCGGCAGAACCATGAAAGGATGCGCGTGAATCAGATGGGACATCATAGGCATGCCCTGTGGGGACTTCAGCACCGAATTCATCGGAGGCAACGGACTGGTCGGCTGACCACCAGTCGGCGACAGCGGCGCCATGTTCTGATTAAACAAAGCCAAATTGTGCTGGTGCGCCAGCTGGTTCATGAGCATCATCTCGTTTTGCGCTTGCGCCTGCGCTTGAGCTTGAGTCTGTCGAGCGATGAGATTTTGTTGAGCGATAATTTGAGCTTGCTGTTGAGCAAAAAGCGCCGAGCTGTCCCAAGAAGGCGTCACCAAACTCTGGGACATCGAGGTCACCGTGGCGGCGGCCTGGGGAGGCGGGGGCGGGGGAATGTTAGTGGGGGGCAGAGGCGCGATCGGGGGTAACATACCGGGACTGAGGAGCGCCGGGGCGGCCTTGGCTGGGGAGACGGGGGCCGGGATGCCCCCGGTCAGGACGAGATTCATGTCTTCCCCGGAACACTGGAAGACTTCGATGTACCTCTGCTTCTTGCCGAAGATCATGTAGCGGTGGTGTTTCTGTTGGGCCGTTATGAAGGCCGATTGCTCCGAGTCCATTTGGATGAAGGCCTCGCCGCTCGGTTGGCCCTGGAACGAGCATTAGTTCATAATCATGATCACTTCATTAGCTTCAACTTCTCCCACAAACGATAGTTAATTGGTTTACTAGTCAGCAAAGTAGTAGAATGACTGCCGCAACTGATAGTTCAGAGCCGAGTTTAGCGAGGTTAGGAATTCAGCAAATGCAGCCAAATCAACATTTGCTCTGAAGTGTGAGACATATATTTTTTCCCTAAATGTTATAAAACCAATTTTTTATTGAAAACTTTGTCATTTTGTGTTCACCCAATGTCAGTGTTAATTTCGATTACCAATTTCATTCAAATTACTAAGAACACCCAGCAGAGTTTTCATAATGAGAACCCTCCATTACTATAAGTAATCCACATAACATTTTTTTATTCCTATGACATTGATGTAATTTCTGATGTAAGGCTGGAGGATGTTAATCACATTGAAGGTCGTGGAGATGACTGTGTGTATCATTCAGTATTTCTCATTGTTCGATTGGCGTATAATACTTTAGGTCAAAATGACATATTATTGCCAGAAAATACATGTGAATGTTACTCAATCCACAAGAACTGTTGAAATGACTACCTCCATCTAAGATGCAAGAATCTTCTCCTCATTGACTGCCGAACTCTTTGAAAAACACCAGGATCGTTTCTGATTGAGTAACAAACAGCATTTGAATTTGCAAGTCATTCACATTTTCTATTGAAGTATTATATACTTATGACTTCAGATGGTCCCATAGGAAATATTTCAAGGGGTTTTTATCTAGGGAACGAGCGGTCCATCAATGAGGTCCACTTCGACTAACCCAGCTATCTCCGTAAGTTAGTATTAAAAATGCACGAGCAAATAAACAGAATTACGCTGCTGCACCTGCATGAACCACACTGAATTTCTTATTGTCAATGATGCATACATCCTCCAGGAAATGAGGTGACGTTTGTTCTAAAAAATTAAGGTACCGCTTTTCCAGTCATCCTCATTCTGAGAACGTCATTTTGTCGTATAAATATGACATCTTGTGGATGAGACATTTTGACGTCCTCATAGGGCAAGTCTCTCTCACACATAACACGTTATTTTAGGACATCTATACATATACTTCCCAATTTTCTAACCAAAACGTTGTGGAGACGACATCTGTGTGCACGCATTTCTTATTCTGAATGATAAAGTAGAAGTGAAAGATATAAGTATAAACGTTTGTATGGTCCTTTTAGTAACACGCTCAGTAGTTCGTGAGTGTGGGTTGCAAATAAGGAACAACTCAATTTAGCACTCTATAATGACCTAACAAAATACATAGGTATAGTAAATGTAAAAATTTTCAAAGTGCAATGGTATAAAGTTCGATTATAATTCAACTCACCTGAGCATTGTAAACCATATGGACGCCTTGAAAGACGATATTTTTGGCAAAGTCGCCCAAGAATTCCAAAATGTGCTCAACTTGGGCCTCATAGGGCAATCCTCTTAACCTAATGCAGTCTTTTCGAGTTCCCGATGTAATAATATGTTGTGGCAATAAAGGCACTTGTGGTAGTTGAGCTATTAAAGGCGTTTGCTGCTCATACGTTTTAGGATCCAAACACCTGTTGAGGACCTACAAATACAGAAAAACTCAATGTCCTGTGATTGTAAAATGGTTGTATGCATTTGTGTAATGCATGGTAACAACTATAACATTAACGTAATTAGCGGTTATAGATATTACGTAGGCAACGATACTGAGTGATAACAAAAATGATCCTATTTCATTTTAAAATTATTGAAACGTTCGATAAGGTATTTCACTGAAATGCACAGTTGAAATATTCTCAAAAGTTTTAACTTCACAGGTACCTTCATTTGTCTTCAATATTAGGGCTAGATTTAACATAAATTAGACGTATTCCAGATAGTGGAAATTAATTGATTGTGATCTCCCGGAGACAAGTTCTTCAATGAACTTAGTCGGGTATCCCCTTCTGTTCATTTACTGTCTATGCTTGTCAATTAAATTGGGTTTTATTATCTCACCTAGATATATGTCACAGGATGTTACCAATGTTTTGTAAATTTTTCAAGTAAATAAACATTCATTCATTTAAGAAGCATCTAGTGCACATGAAATAGTCGCCCATCTAGTAAATATACATACGTCCGTTAGAGAGCAATATCAGGTATAGCCTTTGCAAAGTAACTTGAGACATATTCAGCAAAAGACATCGCTGGCGGCACGCTGTCTCAAGTGACTTTGCGAAGACTATAAAAAAAATTAATACAATATTCACCTGTTGGACTTCAGCTGTCGTCGATCTGAATAATTCGATATACCTAGAACCTATACATTCTCTATGTTTTGAGAGAGCTTTGGGTGCGTCAGTTTCATTGGCAAATAGTACGAAGGCGTCACCAGTTGCTCGGCCGTCAGGTTTTCTCACGAACAGTACCCCATCAGTACCGTCTAATATATTACACGCATTTTCTGCTTGAGCAAAAAAGTCCAACTGAAACAAATCAAGAACCATGATTGAGTAAAGAACTTCATAGATTGATGAGTTCGTTTCATAGGTAGAGGATTGGGACCTAGGTATACTATACCGGATTTTCTGGAAGTAGGTCAAATGAACATTTTTTATTGGAACCCTTTGTACATTTTTCACAGCTGGGTAGTACAAGAAATTCATTTTTCAATGATCCATCCTTACCAGATTTATTTGTGAATCGCAGCGTTAAATTCAAAATTGAAAATACCATCGAAAACGTATTGTCAGGAAAAAAAACATGTCAAAAGAAACCTGAAACACGTCAAGTTTGTTTGTGAGGAAGGTATGGAGATTTGGAGATATGGAGCTATGAAGTAGACTCAAAACATTCCTAGAAGAATGCAATAATAATTACCAATGAGGTATCACTTTTGTTGGAAAATGACCTCTCCCGCTTGGGATGGAAAGAATTGTCCACACATTTAGCGTCAGAAGTTGTACACCTCGTGAACAATATTGACGTATATCAAGTTTTTTTCGACAAGATATTGTCCTGGCAGCTACGTCTTCTTCCGGTACGGACCCGGAAGAAAATTGCCGACAAAGGATTTTCAATTCTTTCAGAAGTAAGACATTGTAGCCATTGTACGAGCACAAAATATAACGGATATAAGCGAGGGATATTCAAGTAATCAACTGGACTACTGTTCGCCTTCCCAGCAGCACTGCTATGGAATATCCTCAGAAACATTTTCATTCTGACTAAGCCTGCTAAAAGCGTAGACCGAGCGTGGCTACGAGGTGGGGACAAACCAATGTAGTGGTCCAGTTGACTACAGGGTGTTTTAAAAAAGGTGGCCCCCTTGCTAGCTAGGATATGTAGAACACTGCAAAATGAGTTGGGTTTACTCAGTAAAAACATGTCGCATCCGTATTCAAAATACAAGGTATATATTGAAATGAGTATTTCACACACTTCTCGCGATCATGTCGAAACAGCTGGCAATATTATTATGAAAATTTCACACCAAACATTTTCGATCAATTTAAAGCCTGTATTTCGTATCGTTACCATAGCAACTAAACAAATATCTTGGAAATCTTGAATTTTTTCCTCCTCCTTGGGGGACAGAGCATGAAATTACACTGGAAATTTTCGTCGTCTTCGATTCTTGAGAATTTTCAGAATATTCATGTTCTCGAAAAAATTTCCGGAAATAATTGAAGCTCTAGTGATATTATAAGTGAAAATTTGTATGTATACGATTTGGAATTGACTCTCATAGGGGGCTCTCAAACAGGTGAAACTTCATACTTGGTATTGCTTTCATTGATTAAATAATGAATCACAGAAATAACAATGGAATGAATTTGCCTTAAAACATGTATTACACAGTTTGGTCGTTTCTTTCAAGGCAACAATATATTGTACAGAGATTCGAAATAAAATTGAACATCAGTTGAATGACCTCACAGCAAATCTTCAACCGTTTAGAAGAATAATGCATAATCTTAAAAAAAAGGATCGTGAGCACTTATACTTTATACTTTCATGGTTTTAGTCAAACTTTGTTTAACCAATAACTTCAGTATTTAGAATGCCACTTTACTCTAACTCTACTGTTATTGTGAAGTCCCCTAAAGTAAAACATTCAGGAAACGGTACACAGTATTGAGTTATACGAAGAGTGTCCTCAAAGCGTAAGATTGAACAATGTTCGAGCTCACATAAAATCTGGACTGAAAAATCTAACCTCAAACATTATGTTTGGAACAACTTGATACAAACCGTGTAACTAGAGCTCTCTATTGAAGTTATATATAAAAGCAAATTGGTGGGATGTGTCAACATTCATACAAAATGGCATCACAATGTATGATAGTTTCGACATAATGCTGGATACCGAGGATATATCTACATGATTTGAACGTGCATATGATAATCTCTGGTAGAAGTCCATGTTTGCTCAAAGTGGAGTAGAATTTTTCAAAGGAAAGAAAGAAATCTCAAATTCATCTCCATACTTTTGATGAAGTAATTATTCAAGAAGTCATGTCTCGGACTTATAAATGTCCATCGTGCGCCGAATTTAGAACTTAATGGAGATGAAACAGCTTTTATATGTTGGTGCCAACACCCATCATCATAAAATCCTTGATAAAAATTTTGAAAGAATTTAGAATGATTCGGTTTTCATGAACATGAAGGACCCCGTGCTCTGAGAGCTCGTCCCTCCTGGGACTTGACTTCTGATTATAGTACACTTTTGATGGCAGAAATAAAATGCAACTGAATTCAATCTCGAAGTCGAAAGAGAATATTTCAATCATACGATGATTGAAATTATCATTTTCTGTGAAATGCAGTGGGGAAACTTTTATGAATAACATGTGAAACCGAGCAATAATTATTCAAGATACTCTACTGAAAAATTAAAATTGAAAAAATATCACCAAGGCCACTAATATTTGATGTAAACAAAGATTCAATTTACTTTACATTAGTTATATCAATATCCTCAATAGGGCGGATCGCTTATTTTGAATCGCCTTAGTGTACAATTTTGATTGTTGATAGAGAACACATTGAGACGATTTGAAGTTTTTTTTCTTTGACTGACTGTTTCGGAGGTATAAGAATTTTTAATTTTCAATTACACAGGCAGCATTTGACCTTAAACTTAGATTAAAATCACCGCGGCGCTTTTTGATTTGTTGTCATGGATAGTATCAAAATATGTTCACTTTTTCATTTTCTAAACTGGTCACCCTACCTGAACTGGTCCATATACAGTGTGTCCCACTTACCATGCTCACCATGGGTATCCTTTTAACGGTGAGAGATACGAAGTCGGTTAGATGACAAATGTGGAGTTTGTCAAGGCCAACTATAATGTGAAAAAATATTTTGATAAAATCTATTCGTTTTTGTTTTATACGCAAAAAACAGATTTTCATCATTTTCATGTCTCCTCCGTAACTTCTTTATTTATGAAAATATTCAAATAGGAATTTAACATTCTCATGGCAGTTTTTCAAAGTGATTTCGAAAAAAATATGAAATTTATACCAACTCTTCTAGAATTCGAGATATCAGCACCAACTTTAGTTTTTCAAATGTAGGTCATAGCTCACTATGACTTAGTTACAAATAACTTTTTTTTCTCTTCCAGATGATGTGTCGCAGTAATAGTTTTGTGTTGATAACAACGGAGTTATCGCCATTTATACAAAAACAAAAAATTATTTGGAAGCCGTCATCTTGAATTTATGAATTTTAACAAAAAAATCATGATCTCCGATCTCAAAAACCCCCACTTACCAATTTTGAATAGAATCGGACCAAATCTTGTCCGCCATCTTGGAGCAGCCATTTTTTTTTCAACAAAAATTCCATAACTCCGATTAACTTGAAATTTGGCAGGTGTTCATAATTTCGGTGACAATACATTGTGGAATTTCTGTTGAAATAAAAAAAAATGGCTGCTCCAAGATGGTGGACAATATTTGGTCCGATTCGGTTCAAAATGGGTAAGTGGAGGTTTTTGAGGTCGGAGATCAAGATTTTTTGTTAAAATTTATAAATTCAAGATGGCGGCTTCCAAATAATTTTTTGTTTTTGTATAAATGACGATAACTCCGTTGTTATCAACACAAAACTATTACTGCGACATATTATCTGGAAGAGAAAAAAAAGTTATTTGTAACTAAGTCATAGTGAGCTATGACCTACATTTGAAAAACTAAAGTTGGTGCTGATATCTCAAATTCTAGAAGAGTTGGTATAAATTTCATATTTCTTTCGAAATCACTTTGAAAAACTGCCATGAGAATGTGAAATTCCTATTTGAATATTTTCATAAATAAAGAAGTTACGGAGGAGACATGAAAATGACCAAAATCTGTTTTTTGCGCATAAAACGAAAACGAATAGATTTTATCAAAATATTTTTTCACATTATAGTTGGCCTTGACAAACTCCACATTTGGTGTCATTCAACCGACCTCGTATCTCTCACCGTTAAAAAGATACCCATGGTGAGCATGATAAGTGGGACACACTGTATACCGTTCCATCCATACTCACCACTTGCTTGGCAGTGCAGTCGTACGGCAGCCCTCGCATCCGCACAATCACCGCTGCCCCCCTGCTCAGAAAGGCCTGCGCTTCACCGCTAGCGCCTCCCGCCACCGATAGGAAGTCGTCCCCGGACGCCCTGTACACCTCGATGTACCTGGCGCCGATATGGTGCTTGTGCCGCTTGAGCGCCATGTCACGGTGTTCCTGGCCCGCGAACCGCACCAGGGCCTCGCCGTTCCGTCTGCCTTGAGCCGACAAGCACAGCGCTACGCCGCCTCTGCAAGAATATCAACAGGTTCATCACCATGAAAAGAGGACGGAAGATCACTTGAATATCTTCAATGTCACAGACACAGTTTTTTTTATGTTCTGGTTCCCACGAAAAGAGATATATTTCAATGTTCAGAGAACATCGTGAGAACCAAGGGAAATAAGTTAGGAAGTGATGTTCTTCTTGAATTTCTGGAGGTTATATGTCTCGGGGAATACCTCCCTTGGCAATACATTCCAAAGCCTCGCTGTTCGTTGGATGAACGGGTATTTGGAAAAAGATGTTCTGCAAGTCTCCGAAGTGACCATGAAGGTGTGAGAAGCCTCAACTCGACGGGTTGATCTCGCGGGGACTGCCAAGGGAGCAACAATTGTTGATATTTCAGAAGAGCATCGTCCATGAAAATATCTATAAAATGGAGCCAGATCTGCAACTTTACTACGGTGTGTGGGTGAGTGGGTTCGTGAGCGAGGCATCACAAGTGCATTAACCGTGGTTTGATTCGACCGAAGTCATAACCTTGGGTCACAAATGGCGTAAAATGAGTTAATCGAACGCCAATGAAGGGTGATGCGACGACCTTTCACAACTATCAGCATTTCTCGGTCACATACACCAGGGTTCAAGAAACAATCAGCTATATTCAGTAATAGTTTCCTTATTATGACTTTTCCATAAATGAATAGTAGACATCTCAGTGATATTCATTCAATGAGTAGAATCTACGGAATTTTTACTCTCCCCCGCCACCGTGAGGAAGTTGTCGCCCGACGCCCTGTACACCTCGATGTATAGCGCTACGCCGCCTCTGCAAGAATATCAGGTTCATCACCATGAAAAGAGGACAGAGAGGATCTATTGAATATCTTCAATGGATTTTTTTGATTTTGAGGCGAGCTCTATGGAGCCCTCAGTTCACTTAGACCGCTCGGTTGGATCCATTGTGTTACCCCTGCTGTTTCGTCCCACACTTCTGACAACTTGTCTGTAGGGGACCGGCGATTTCCTTCCATTCATGAGGTACCCCTGTGTTCCCCCTCCCGGCTCAGTCCAGACCCTCAGATGAGCCAGGTCGCTTGCTTTCCCGGAGCCAGACCTCAGTCAGTTCCGCGTATGGGTCTCCATGTGAGCCCTCAGGTCCAGCGATCTAGCCCGTGCTGGCTCAGGGCCTGAGCCTGCACGGGCCCGTCGACCGAGCTCAAAGTCTCAAAGCCCCTATTCTTCCCAACCCTAGAGCTCTCACTAATCCGGCTCCCGAGCCCGCTTCTGCCCAGCTATAGAGCCCCCCAAGCCTTCTGGCCCAAGCCAAGGGATGGAGTGGGGGTGAGTCTCATTGCATGTGTCTATGATGGTCATTCCCTGAACAGCTCTATTCCTTCGCAGTAGGTCAGTATTCTGTTCAGGGGGATGTTTGTTAGCTGCTCAGGCTCCAAGTATGCAGAGCCTAGGCATATCCTTCTCTGGCGAGCCACTGCGGGACATCCGCAGAATATGTGTGATGAGGTCCCTCCGTCCCCCTCGCATAGTCACATTGGGTCGTCATCAGCTACTGTTTAGTTACAGGAGGTTGTATGATTGGCGTTTGCATGGCCCCGCGATATGCATCTGCCCAAGACCTCTTGAATTGTTGCCATAGCAGGTCATTCAGAGCCATTAGGCCGACGCATCGGGGGATTCCTACTATTGGTTCGGGCCCGAAGGAAGGGCTCTGAGGCACCTTGTCTTACTAGGGCATCGGCGCTTTCATTTCCCTCGATGCCCTTGTGTCCCGGTACCCAGAGTAGGTGTACTTTGTTGGTCCTAGTTAACCTTGAGATTAGTCTCGGAGATCCCAGGGCATTCAGAGCCGCTTGGATTTCCAAACAAATCTTTGATGTCACACCAAGAGTATTTTGTTATTTCTCGAAGCGCACGAAGGAAAGTTTCAATAATGTTCGAAGAACATCGTGCGTACCTAGAGAGGATAGGGAGAGGAGGTAGGTGTTGGAATTTTTTTTAACTTCTGTCGGTTATCAGTTCTTGGGAATACTTCCATTGGCGAAGAATTCCAATGCTTCGCTATTCTATAGACGAAAGAGTTTTGGTGAAGTGTTGTTCAACATATCTCAAGTTTCTAAGCGAATGTGCTGACTGGGATTGTCGAATCCATCTGACTGGTATTACTAGTGATGGAATTATAGCAGATACCATGTACATTGCGTGAAACTTCCAGATTCAGTTCAACCAGAATTTTTCCAATTGTCGGGTCATTTCTATTGGTCAGTTCGAAACTTCCCAAGAACGACAGAGGATTTATACATTCAGGATATTCATTTATGCAAAATTCAAAGAGAATCTCGAAGAAAGCAAGATTTTGATGAGCATTTCATCAATCCTAACCAAACACCGGAACCACAGTTGGTGGCCCCAAACTAGGTTTCTGACATCAAAGTTGTGTTCATTTTTTGTTCACTTTATGTTCCTCATTATAAAGATACACTGTGATGATTTTCAGACCATGCTTGAGATCATTGGGTACAACTACCTACTCAGTGGTGTATCCAGGGGGTACTGGGCTACTAGCTATGTCAAAGTTGATATTGATTGATGAATTATATCATATTCCACATTTATGAAAATTATTTTTAATAATGATATCAAAATACCAAGCCAAAAAGTGAAATATATATATAAAATACGTCAAGTGTTCAAATTTTTGGTAGGTTACTGGATTACTCTTTTCACTCATTGAAAAATGAAAAGTTGTGAACGATAATTGGTGGATTTCTTTCGAAATCAACAAACATAAACCGAGCTCATTTTCATCAATGAAAGCAGATTCGTTCCCGAAACGTCTAAAGATATGTGAAATTAATTTCTCCAATGTACGCCTACTTTCTCCGTTTCGAACATTTTTCGAACAATCTGCCAGTGACTTTCGATTAAATGCCTCAATTGAGTTCCCAATACTGAAATTAAAAGTGAAGAGACATTTTGGTGCATTTTTATTTACCCATTATTGTGATATTTCAGGTATCTATATTATGAAATCATTATTCATTATTCAACCACAGTCTCCAAGACTCCACTCTGAAGATTTGTAAAGATAAAAAATAATGATTCAGAAAAGAAGATATTCCATAATTCAGTGAAATGTATATTTCACCTCCTTAATCAACTAATAGATCATATCTTCTCATTCATACTTTTCGACCCCCAATTTAAACAATGGTGGCGCCACTGGCAACTGCTACCTACTGCAGAATTGTAACCCCGATTTCAAAAAACTAAACGAATTCATCATCGCAGATGGTTTTAAGCTCCTTGAAATCGTCATGAATCTTGAGAATCAACTAGCAGAAAATCTATTCGATACTGAATGATGATAAGAATGTTTTCCTGCTAACAATTGGAGAGAACAAAATTTCCGGAATACTTGGATCTGAGGATATCTCAAACCTCTCAAAAAAAGAACGTTTTTGATTCAAAAGTGTTCCCTGAAAGTTTGAAGTTAATCTCGTGGCGGAACTGGGAGGATTGAGGTGAGGGTGGATTAATTTATGGCTAAAATGCACAAGTGGGTTTTTCAAGGAGATTTTCCGAAAAACACGGTTCGCTTTAAAACGACATATCTCCTGAACCAATAGACTAAATCCAAATTTGAAAAATGCACCGTATGCCTCTTTGATGACGCAACAAATTATTATTCAACCATTTTTTCGTGCATCCATCGGAAAATGGAAAAACAAATGAAAATCAAAACATCAAAATTTGAAATCCTTTCAATTCAATATATATCTAAAACAAATGGAAAAATCGAAAATTATCAGAAGTGCACAGTTATCCACTGGAACATTTCCTACGAATTATTTTCCATAATTTTTTCTGTAAACCCAATAGTACAGGAAATAAAGTGAAAAATATGAAAAAAAAATTTAACGACCCATAGGGTACTATGAAGATATATTGAAAAACAAAGATTATCGATAGATGAAGCTCATCGACTTCCACTGAACCATGAAATATTTTTTCATTTTGTTGATTGGAAGATGGAACAAAAGTGTTGAAAATTTTATTCTCAGATAATTCCAAATATCTCGAAAACAACTGAAAATATCTGAAAACCATTTAACCAAAAGTATTCCTTATGATAGAATGTACAAAAAATCCGTATAACATTTTTCTCTGAATTCAATAGTTCGGGAGATACGATGAAAAAACTAAAAATATTTACAAGTTCCTAGATAATCACTTGCCAATAGAAAACAAAACAAAAAACAAAAGAAAGTGAAAAAAGCACCCTCGACTGTCTTGATTTTTTTTCTCATAAACTACGTACCTAGCTCACTCGACTGTCTGGAAAAACCAAGACAGTCATATTTAGTCGATTTTCGAAACTTTTTAGTAGACCTATGTAAAACATTATTTCATCATATCTTCTACATTTCAACAGCTATTTCAATTCTGATTCGAACAGTTTTTGTCTATCATTTGGAGCTGTATACGAAGAGGCCAGAATCGAAAGTTTTCCAAGAAAATAATCAAATTTACACAACTTATCTCACTGAGGCGGTGAGTTAAATTCTGAAATAAGATCATGGAATTATTTATGGGGCACAACATCACCACAGATATTGATTCCCATCAGGATAAGAATCATTGAGATCTGTCTCAGAGTCGTCTTGTTGTGGTATTCATCTTACCATTTGTTAATAATTACTTTTTTGCATTCCCGGGACGTGGTACGTTCTTTAGTTTCTTCAAGCAAATACCAAAAAGGCCTATTTGAATCGAATAGGGACTGAAGACAATGTTAGGCTCAGCGACAGTACCTCATTTCAGTTATACTTTTCTGAAAAATATCTGATATTGAATGAATTACGGCTTCAGTTCCGTAGTATATATAATATTCTTATTCATCCAATAATTGGAGTGTTTGTGGACATGACTTTGAGTTTCAGTATTAATTCAACATATCATTACACTTTGAGCAGTTTTGCTATTTCGGTACTTCAAATAACGCCAGGCACTCCCATTTCCCACCGAGATGGTTTCGGTTTTGGAGTATTTCTCTCCTTCTACTGGGTAAAAAATGCGGATTGCATTGTTTTGCTTAGTTGGCAATCCTACGACTGCTGACTGGTGGTACCCTACACTGATGAGGGCGAAAAGCCCGAAACCGGTGCGTATAGGTGTCAAGCGTTAACCTGCCTACAATCTTTAAAAAAATCGGCATTTAGGAAAGAAACACTTGTCATGATACTGACGTCTTCTTTTACTCATCCAAGTGACGTTCGCTCAACTTCGTATTGATGACGTGATTATCACGTCATAGAACGTAGGTCATAGTGACGTCAGAAACTCGTGTATGACGTCTCTGACGAAAAAACGTCACAGTTAGTCACCGATCACGCTGAATTTTGGCATTATGAAAGTGTATTCAGTGTGATAATGGAAAAGGCAAATAATATTTCCAACGTCAACACTCTTTTTCTCAAAAATGATTCCCGAACAATATCTGAAGACTCATTTTGGTGAAAAATCAGCTTATAACCTTTTGCCTTTAAGCCACAGAAATATTGTTGTACCCTTCGTCTTCTGCATGCATGATGAAGTTTGCATCTGTTTCAATTGAAACATATTGACTTAATTCGTATTGAGTTCGCGTATGTTCGTTTGTAGAGCCAATGAACCAGAGGTCACCTTCAAATATGAGCAAGCTTTCCACCTTGGAAATTTGAAGTAATAACGTATTATAGAAATCAGAATTGAAACAATCTCTCAACCAACACTGAAAAAATTTTGTGTGTCTCATACCGACCCTTTTACCGAAAAAAGGAAGCTGGATTGGGAAGGGAAACACAACTGCCGGCAGTGGCAGTGGTCGTGGGATGGGGGGTAGTCCCTTGAAGGGGGCCCTGGGTCCACCAACCAGAACCAGAACATCAAGTAATTATTATTTCAAACACTCCTATATGAAAAACTCAAATTGTAAAACGATTCAACTGCACAAAATTGTATGATGATATCGCAATTGCATCTCCAGAAAGATCTTTTTCGAAACTGGAAATAGTCAAAAACTGTCTAAGAAATTGTTAAACACAAGATCGGCTGAGTAATTTGTCAAAACTCCATAAAGGCTGGTTAAATATCGACTATATCGCAAATTCCTATTGAAAAAAGTTGACTAGAATTTAAAACTACGTTCAAATATCTGATTACATATTCTATCTACGACGAGAATCAGGTTTAAATATTTACTACAATTTTTATTGACATGCGACTGAAGAAATTTGATCTAATATTTGCATTCTCGGTTTCAATTCTTGCAGAACTTGTTATCAAGGAAGACTTGTTTCCGTGGAATCGATCAGAAATTGTAAAAAATAATATAACCTTATGCCTCGCAGGAAGTTTTTGAGAAGAATGACATTTCCTCATGGAAGAAATAAAAACTTTTATTCATTTATTCATTGTGTTTGTTCTTTGTTTTTGTTTTGTTATGTTCCGATATGAATTATTTTTCCATTTTGAAACGTATTTTCAATTTGCATGTTGTTGTTCTTATACTGTCTCATCCTAATTTCTCTTTTCATGGGGGCTCTGAATGATTATGGTAGGGGCCCAAAATATGAAGTTACCCCACTGACTGTCGGACTTCTTTTGGAAGTTGAACATACGTTCATTCAGGACAAGCCAGGGCCGGATTATCCATAAGGCGGACTAGGCAACTGCCTAGGGCACCTGCACCGACTAGGGGCCCCGTGCACGGACAAAAAAAACATTTCATTGAACGAGTTCGTTTTTGAAAACGTGTATACTCCCTCAATACTATTCCCGAATCCTTATATAACCGCGTCGCGTCTCATTTCTATTTCCTGATCCATCATGATCATGATTCTGTTCTTTTTTCAGATAATTGTAATCAATTTATGAAACGATGGATGATTGCAATCCAATGAATGTTGGAACAAATTGTGTCAAGGTTCCAAAGAGTTATTTGTCGGGGGCAATTTGTTTTTGTATGCGTGCAAATATATTCTAAGTAGGAACCGGAAATAAACGAGCTTTCAATTTTATTAGTTTTCCTATCACGTATTTTTTCCACTGATTACAGGCAATAGGTGCTTGTTGTCAAAATAAAACATCGAATGACGTATCCATGGTACTAATGGAGAATTTCTTTTTCACAGCAACGACTGACTATCACTTGATAAGTTGGATAATCAATCACTAATAAATAGGTATAATGGCTAATGAGATATGTTTGAGATGTGAAAACATTCAGACATTAGAAATTACAATTGAAATGAGCGCTATTTCAGAACGCGCTGTTATGTTCGCGCTGTTTTGTTACGCGCTAACAGCGTTGCAGTAACAGGATACCAAAAGACTCGATCTGATCGACTCGACTTTTGTAATAGAAAAATATTCGTTTCAAAAATTAAAAAAAGGGTAAAATAAAGGGGAGAGGGGCCCCGAGAGTTACATTGCCTAGGGGGGCTGATAGGGTTAGTCCGGACCTGGGACAAGCTAATACAAAATAATTGTTTATACTCACTTGGCGACATTCAAACCTCTGAAAAATTTCGCTATATCTTGATCACTACTTTGCCACGGCAGTCCTCTAGCTCTCACCACACAATTGCTGTCAATCTCATCGTCTTTCGAACTGAAAGTAAAAAAATACATGAACATTTAAATTTTCTTACCGATAAACGAGTCAACCTTTTCGCAAATTTAAATATTACCGATATGCGTTATGTCTTGATAATGAGACCCCAGCAGTCCACCTAGAAGCCAGTCATTATCAGTTATAGATATTTCTAGAACGTTAAGCACGTGAGATTTCGGCAAATTATTTCGAGTTCGTATGAGTATTGGGTCTTTTTAATCTATGGTATTGCTGAGATGCCCTTCAGCGCACAATTTCAAATCTCATTTCCCACATAACGTAACAACATTTATTCGATAATTATTGTTGATAAACATGTTTATATGTTGTATCATTGAATGTATGATTCTTCAGAACATCTCGAGTAAATGATGGGAATAATATTGAGTATTATCTTATCGAACCCATAAATTCGATAAGTATTCAAAAAAATCGATTCCGAATATGTGCATTACCATAACTATAATTAATATTAACTGACCTACTTTTCATATACTGCTAACAATTATTCTTAAACGAATACGATATAGAGGTACCTAAATTTTGTTTCATGCAAAACATCATAGGTGTGAACCTATCCAGTCGAGAGAAAATAACAGTTTTTCTACTCACATATCTAAAATGGCATTTGACGTTCTTATATGTACCACGCTAAATGATCGATTTATCACGGATTGATGATCTATGATTTATTCAAAAAATGTAACACGTTACCATGACAACACGATTTCTTCAACACATTACCATCGCAACAAAGTTTTTTGAACACACCTTCTCAGTCGTTTGAGTCCTGTCCGGCCTGTCAATTGTCGGAACTGTCAACTGTCATTTTCTAATTTCATTGCAATCAGAATTATTCAAACAATTTGTATTTGTATGAGAATTCCTTATTAAAAATGTATGCGAAATGTAGACGAAAGTTGAATCGGAGTAAATGTTTGCATAGTATAGTATTATGTATTATGTTCTCAATTCCCATTCCTTTCTAATTATTTTGAAGGTAAAAAGGTAGGTTAGTCTAACTTTCGGAATTATGAGATCTTGTCAGAGAGAGGAATTATGAGTTCGTAGAAGAAGTATAGAATGTAACGCGTATATGAACTCTTTGCTCTGCTGTGCTCGTGCTTCAAATACTCGTTAACACTCGCTCGTTACATTTTCACGTGGGGTAAATTACGTGGGAAGTCCAATGTACCCGAGACGGGAATTTCTCGGGTAGTCTTTGGGAATTCCTTGGGAAATCCGGGAATTCATTGGGTAGTCCGGGTATTCATTGAGAAGTTCGGGAACTCCTTGGGAAGTTCGGGAATTCTGGGTAGTCCAGGTAGTCTTTAGGAATTCCGGGTATTCTTTAGAAACTCCGAAAATTCTTTGGCTAGTAACAAGAATTTCAATAATAAGGTATTCATATCTCCAGCATGGGTATGAAATGCCAAATCTGCCGAAATCGGAAACAAATCAGGTATGCGTCCCAACCCAAATAACCAACCGTAGTCGTTCATTTTGATACCAAAATTAGCTCTCAAATTGACGTTTCTATTACTGACACAAAAATAGGTATGTTGCTAGGCAACATATTTAGTTCCTAGGAGCTAAAGTTGAATTTTAGTTCCTAGGAGCTAAAAACTACTAAAAAGGATGTACTGGACGTCACCAAGAATGATTTGTTTCCGATTTCAGCAGATTTGGCATTTCATACCCATGCTGGAGATATAAATACACCTTATTATAGTTTAGTATTGGAATTATAAACATCTCACTTAAGTATTTTTGTTTTGATCAGGGAAGCCTTCAAGATTCAAATACTTGCTTGATCTGTATTCCATTCATTATTCTCGGGATGGATAACTTGTTTTTGAATAATCAAGGCAAGCAATAGCTTTTGTCTCAAACAACGATATTTACCTTCATTTGATTATCAAGCGGAAAACATTGTATTATGGAGAGGAGTATATAATCGCTATTATTGATTATTGTTGATATGCTAACTAACCTAACATTTTCCACGTCTTGTTCCTGGTCCATGCACAAATATGAGTGACTTCACATATTTATTTGAGTTAATGTGTTATTTGGATCAAAAGTGACACTTTGTTTGATAAGCGAATTTTGCATTTGCGAGGCGGAGCGTTTAGCGAAGCCGAGCGAAAGCAAAATTTGCTGTTATTCTTGATGACCTCTATTACATCCTTTTTAATTCCTAGGAGCTAGAGTTCAACAGGAACTAAATGTGTTGCCTAGCAACATACCTATTTTTGTGTCAGTAATAGAAACGTCACTTCAACAGAAAATGTTGGTATTAATCTTGGTATCAAGACTTTTTTCGGTTGCAGAAAAGAGAGTTTCTTAAGGTTATAGTGGGAACAAGACGGAACAAGACAATATCTATGCAAAAACCAACATCTAAGTAACCGCGGAGTTTCAGAACCCAACTTTTGATATCTGCTTCATTTTTGAAGTAGGTACTTCGAAACATTTTTCACATCTGATTTAGGAACGTCTTACTTTTCAAACATGAAACAATGAAAAATATAACGGAACTAGAGATACAATATCTCGTACAATTACTTGCAGTTCAGACTCGTCACTACTATTCAAGGTTCCAATGTTCATTTCAATTCAGTAATCAATTCAATAATCAATGATTCCTCGAGAGAAAGCTTGAATAAATGTCCCTAATTTCCTGAAGATGTTTTACTTTTTATGCTGAATTCAAAAATATATGTATACGGAATTCTTTTTTCTAGTAGTGTATTAGACATCAAGGTTGATTTGGAGTACTTTTAGCAAGCACTTTTTTGCTAATAATTATTTTTTTCTGCAACTGACACAAAAGTCGTCCATTTTGATACGAAAATCAGCTCTTAAATTGACGTTTTTATTACTGACACAAACATAGGTATGTTGCTCGGCAACATATTTAGTTCCTAGGAGCTAAAGTTGATTTTTAGTTCCTAGGAGCTGAATTCAACTTTAGCTCCTAGGAACTAAAAAGGATTTACTGGACGTCATCAAGAATAATAGTAGATTATTAGGATCAAAAGTGACACTTTGTTTGACAAGCGAATTTTGCATTTGCGAGGCGGAGCGTTTAGCGAAGCCGAGCGAAAGCAAAATTTGCGAGTCGAACAATGTCACTTTTGATCCGAATGAAACATGCTATTTTTTCTGCAACCGAAACAATCAACTCAAATAGACATGTGAAGTAACCACCAATGCCGTGCCATATGTATGCAATGCAACAAATATTGACAAATAATCCATGTGGTGAGAATATTCTACCTGCATTAACAGCAGGTTAGGTTTTCAAGGATGTTCTAATTGTAGTTTCAATATAAGTACAACCACAGAGTGACATATTTGTGTATGGACCAGGTGCTCTAATGGCAAATACCGCGCCAGTGCCAGCTTAGGAACAAGACGTGGAAAATGTTAGGTTAGTGAGCATATCAACAATGATAATAGTGATTATTTATTCCTCTCCATACTACACTGCGTTTGACCCGATAATCAAATGAAGCTAAACAATATTGTTGTTTGAGACAAAAAACTATTGCTTGCCGTGATTATTCAAAAACAAGTTATCCATCCCGAGAATAACGAATGAAATACAGATCAAGCAAGTATTTGAATCTTGAAAGCTTCCCTGATCAAAACAAAAATACTTAACTGCAATGTTCATAATTTCAATACTAAACTATAATAAGGTGTATTCATATCTCCAGCATGGGTATGAAATGCCAAATCTGCTGAAATCGGAAACAAATAAGGTATGCGTCTCAACCCAAATAATCAACCGTCACAATGTTGTTTATTCTTGATGACGTCCAGTACATCATTTTTAGTTCCTAGGAGCTAAAGATGAACTTTAGCTCCTAGGAACTAAAATTCAACTTTAGCTCCTAGGAACTAAATGTGTTGCCTAGCAACATACCTATTTTTGTGTCAGTAATAGAAACGTCAATTTAAGAGCTAATTTTGGTATCAAAATGGACGACTTTTGTGTCGGTTGCAGAAAAACAGCATTGTGACGGTTTGTTATTTGGGTTGAGACGCATACCTGATTTGTTTCCGATTTCGGCAGATTTGGCATTTCATACCCATGTTGGAGATATAAATACACCTTATTATAGTTTAGTATTGGAATTATGAACATTGCAGTTAAGTATTTTTGTTTTGATCAGGGAAGCTTTCAAGATTCAAATACTTGCTTGATCTGTATTTCATTCGTTATTCTCGGGATGGATAACTTGTTATTGAATAATCAAGGCAAGCAATAGTTTTTTGTCTCAAACAACGATATTTTTTAGTTTCATTTGATTATCAAGTCAAACACAGTGGATTATGAATAATCGCTATTATTGTAGTTGTTACTATACCTGGCACTGGCACTGGCACGGTATTTGCCATTAGAGCACCTGGTCCATACACAAATATGTCACTCTGTGGTTGTATTTATATTGAAACTTCAATTCGAACATACTTGAATATTGAATAAACCTGCTGTTAATGCAGGTAGAATATTCTCACCACACGGATTATTTGTCAATATTTGTTGCATTGCATACATATGGCACGGCATTGGTGGTTACTTCATATATTTATTTGAGTTAATTGTTTCGGTTGCAGAAAAAATAGCATGTTTCATTCGGAACAAAAGTGACTTTGTTCGACTCGCAAATTTGGCTTTCGCTCGGCTTCGCTAAACACTCCGCCTCGCAAATGCAAAATTCGCTTGTCAAAGAAAGTGGCACTTTTGATCCTAATAAAACAATCTACTATTTCAAATTTCGCCAAAAGTATTGAAAATTATGAAATGTTTCCATAAAAATGTGAAATTTTTAAGTGAAGTCGATTTGAACATGAAACCATGAAAGAGTGAGGAGAAAAGAAAATTTCGCGAAAAAGAGGTTTCATGTATACAGGCTTGGTGATAAAGTATTTCATTTCACGAAATTAACAATTTACAAGTCAATGATTACACCTCATATTGATTA